CCAAAAAAAAAAAAAAAAACCAACAAGAACAGAAAAGATCAATGAAACCAAGAGCTGGATTTTTGAAAAGATAAACAAAATTGATAAACCTTTAGCCAAGTTCTCTAAGAACAAAGAGAGAGGACCCATGTAGACAAAATAGAAAATGAAAGAGGAGAAATTACAACCCATAACACAGAAATACAAACAACCATAAGAAACTACTATAAACAGCTATATGTCAACAAGTTGAATAATCTAGAAGAAATGGATAAATTCCAGAAACACAGTCTTCCAACATTGAATCAGAAAGAAATACATAATCTTAACAGACCAATTACAAGTATAGAAGTTTAATCAGTAATTTTTAAATTCCTAACAAACAAAAGTCCAGGACCAGATGGCTTCATGGGGGAATTCTATCAAACACATAAAGAAGAACTAATAACCAATTTCTCAAACTATTCCAAAAAATTGAAAAGGGGGGAATACTTCCAAATTCTACATGGCTACAATCACCCTAATACCAAAATGAGGCAAAGACACTGAAAAAAAAGTACAAGTCAACATTTCTGATGAATATAAATGCAAAAATTCTCAAGAAAATATTAGCAAACTGAATCCAATAGTATGTAAAAAGGATCATATACCATGATCAAGCAGAATTTATTCCAGGGATGCAAAGATGATTCAATATCCACAAATCAGTTCATGTGATACGTCACTTTATAAAATAAAGGATAAAAATCACATGACCATCTCAGTAGATGCAGAAAAATTATCTGGCATCATACACAATAGTGAAAAACTGAAATTTTTTCTTCTAAAATCAAGAAAAGTACAAGGATGCCCACATCCACTATTTCTACTTAATATTATATTGGAAGTCCTAGCCACAGCAATCAGACAAGAAAAAGAAAGAAAAGGCATCCAAATTGGAAATAAAGAAGTAAAACTGTCACTATTTGCATATGACATGATACTATATATATATATACGGAAAACCCTAAAGTCTCCACCAAAAAACCTATTAGAACTAATAAATGAATTCAGTAAAGTTGCAAAATATAAGATTAATATACAAAAATCTGTTGCTTTTCTAACAGATGAACTATCAGGAGAAAACAAGAAAACAATTCCACTTACAACTGCCTCAAAAAGAATATAATGTCTGGAAATAAATAAACTTAAGGAGGTGAAAGACCTATACTCTGAAAATGATAAGATATTGATAAAGGAAACTGATAATGATACAAATAAATGAAAAAAATACCCCAAGTTCATGGATTAGAAGAATTAATATTGTTAAAAGTATCCCCTACCCAAAGCAATCTACAGATTTAAGCAATCCCTGTCAAGATACCTGTGATATTTTTCACAGAACTAGAACAAATAATCCTAAAATGAACAAAACCAAAACAGAACTCAAATAGCCAAAGCAATATTGAGAAAAAAGAACAAACCTGAGGTTCCAGGCTCTCTGACTTCAGACTATACTACAAAACTAGAGTAATTAAAACAGTATGGTACTGGAACAAAAACAGACACACTGATCAACAGGAGAGAATAGAGAGCCCAGTAATAAATCCACACACATACGGTCAATTAATCGATAATAAAGGGAGACAAAAAATATAATGAGGAAAAGACAGTCTCTTCAATAAGTGGTGTTGGGAAAACTGGACATATGCTTATAAAAGAATAAAATTAGAACATTTTCTCACACCATATATAAAAGTAAACTCAAAATGAATCTAAATATAAGACCAGAAACTACAAAACTCCTAGAAGAAAACATAAGCAAACCACTCTTTGACATAGTTTTAGTAATACTTTTTTGGATCTGTCCCTCAGGCAAAGGAAATAAAAGCAAAAATAAACAAATAGGATATAATGAAACTTAAAAGCTTTTGCACAGGAAAGGAAACAGACAAAATGAAAGACAACCTACTGAATGTGAAAAGATATTTGCAAATAATGTGACTAACAAGGGATTAATATCCAAAATGTACAAACAGATCATAAAACTCAACATCAAAAAAAATTTAAAAATGAGTGGGAGACCTGAATAGACATTTTTCCAAAGAAAACATCCAGATGGTGGGGAAGGGTATAGCTCAAATTGTAGAGTGCATGCTTAGCATTCATGAAGTCATGGGTTCAATCCCTGGTACCTCCAATTAAAATTAATTAATTAATTAAATTACCTCCCTCCCCCCAAAAGGAAGACATAGAGATAGCCCAAAGGCTAATGAAAAGATGCTCAATATCATTAATTCTCAGAGAATGCACGTTAAATCCACAATGAGATATTACCAAACAACCTGGCAGCATGGCTGTCATCAAAAAGACAACAAATAATAACTGTGGCCAAGATGTGGGGAAAAAGGAACCTTAGTTCACTGTTGATGGGAATGTAATTTGATGCAGCCACTATGGAAAACAGTAGGAGGTTTCTCAAAAAATTAAAAATAGAACTACCATATGATCCAGCAATTCCACTCCTGGGTGTACATCCAAATAAAAGGGAACTAATTCAAAAATATATATATACCCCAATGTTCATAGCAGCAGCATTTACAATAGTCAAAATGTGGAAAGCAACGTAAATGTTCATCAAAAGATGACTGGATAAAGAAGCTGTGGAATATACATACAATGGAAAATTACTCAGCTATAAAATGAATGAATTTTGCCATTTTCAACAACATGGATGGACCTGGTATTATGCTTACTGAAGTAAATCAGACAGAGAAAGACAAATGCTCTGTTTTCATTTATTTGTGGAATCTAAAAAAAAAATTAAACAAATGAATGAATATAACAAAATAAACAGGCTCATAGATACATAGAACAAACCAGTGAGGAGAGGGGTGGGGGAAGGGGCAAGATTTGATCAGGGGATAGAGATTAAGAGGTACAATGTACTAGATATAAAATAAATACAAGGATTCAATATATTACAGAGAATATAACCAATATTTTATAATAACTATAATCTATAAAAATGTTGAATCACTATATTATACACCTGAAACTAATACAACATTGTAAATCAATAAAAAAATTTTGACACTTCTCATGTAAATGCCAATAACAAGCCCATTTTTATTCTAGTTTATCAAGCAAAGATAATAATTGCAGTAAACCATTTGGATAAACATAACAATTCTATACCTTACATATACTCATCAATGTATCAATGTTTATGTGGTCATCTTTTCCTAAAATCAACATCACTAAATATGGCAAAACAGTAGTGGATTCTTCAAATGTATTTTGTAAAATTTAACAGTTTTGTAAATTAAATGTTGATACATTTGATATGAAAAAAGCACCAGCTCTCTTAATCTGCTCAGTGTTATTATCATTTATTCAGGAAATAACTGGCTAATCATGTCAAGGGCAGATCATAGATTGATTTTTTCCTAAACCCTTCACAGACTGTGTCACTCTTGCTGTAAGTTAAAAGGGTCAAAATATGATCAATATTTTTAAATAAATAGAAAAAGGTATTTTTGGTAATACACTCTAATTAAAAATTATATTTAAACTCATGGGAATATGATCAATAAAATAAGCTTGTGGCATTTTTCTCAATCTATTTCCATTATTCCCTAGTGTCTCACCAAAGGGCCATTTCTTTAGGAAAACATTTACTTGAAAATAGTCTTATAAACTCCAAGAAGAAACTAGAATTTCTTACCTATTTCCAGTACAGTCATCTCCAGTGTATAACAAACTTTTTACTATATGATAGCACAGGAAATCGTGCACAATGACAGATCATAACTACATCACAGACTACCATGATTTGGCACCTCAGTCAATCTTATTTCATTTGAAACATCCTCACCCCCTTTCAGACTATCAGGTTCACTTTGAAGACCTGAATTCCTGACCCATCTTGGAATACCCCAAAAGACAACAAAGGAAGGTAGACTATGATGATAAACTAACTGAAACCAAGAAACAGAAACTTATCTAAAATGGTAAAACTGTAAGGAATAACTCCAGTTAAATGCCATTGTAAATATGGCCCTTAACTAGATCTTCTAGTAAACATACTAGCAGAAATATAATGGAGAGTACTTATCTATGATATACTTTCAGCAGGATACATTTGATTTTTCTTACTAAAGAAAACCCCGAAATTTGTAGATTTATGGAGAGGGGAGAGGATGACTGGTTGTGACAATGCTGGAGAAAGGACATTTTAGGAACTGTGTTGGTGGAGGTAGACTTCTCCAAGGGGAGAAGCCATTTGCCACCATAAAGCATAAGCCGGTTCCCTTGAAATGATTCCTTTCTCTGCCCTACTGAAAAATCATCTTTGGAATATTTTGAGGTTTGGGGAAAACAAACACCCCACAATATTCCTGAGACGAGAGATGGGAAAATTCTAGCATCAAACCCTGAATTCTAATGTAGTCATTCCATCCCTCATATAAAGTAAAATGCAATAATGGAATTAGAATTCAAGGTCATAGGGGATCCAGCTGCTTGGAGCTTCTTTCCCTTACAGGATAATTAGCAAGCCTGGGATGAGACCTCCTACAAAAAGCCCTGAGCGAATTTTGAGTTTCTCTTCTGTACACCTTAAAAGCATCTTCACAGAAGGAAAACTGTATCCAGTCTCATTCACAATTATATATTCATAACTATTAGAAATATTTTAAGTTTCTGTTTTAGAAAGAAGTACAAATTTAGAGTAATCTATTATCTCTTCACTACTTCTAGCTTATGAAAAATAACAAGAAATTAGAGATCCAAATATCATTTGATAATCACCATACTGAGAATATTGTTTTAAAAGGGTCTATAGTATTAAAGAAAGATTAATCAAAATGGCATTAGTCAAAGTGGCTACGATGTTTTAATATGCAGGAAATATAATAGAAGAGAAATGGAAGCCTCAAAATCAGAGACTATTTAATACTTTCATCTCTCAAGTGGAAGAAATACTAAATAGAAATGTTTTGAACATAAAATGCCTCGTTTGATCAATGAACCAGGACAAATGCAACTAATGGAGGAGGAGAAGAGGAAGAAGCAAAACATAAGTAGCCAAAAGAGTCTTGATTTTTTTTCTCATTGTTTTTTGTTGTTCTTCAATCAGACTACCTTTTAAAAACAGATCTTTAAATTAATGAAAATGAGACACAAACACAAAATAAAGAGCAGAATAAAACCCTTCCATAATATGAGAAAGATTTAAAAAAATAGCACAATGGCTTTCAAC